TTTGTGGAATATTAAGCTTTTGAAGCTGCCAAGAATACCTAGCCAACTTTGCAACAGATCGCCATCCCCACAATTTGCGATATATGGGGATATTTCCCCTTACTTTATTGCTGTCAATGAAGCTCGATATTTTTTTGGATCGATGAGTTTGGACACACAGAGAAGTTAGAAAGAATAGAAAACAAATCACAGATTTTTTGCTGTCGATACATTTGATATTCCCGTGTTGGTATATTCTTGTGGGTTGAGATGTGCAATTTTCAAAATTTGGCTGGTGAATGAGAGCTTCGGAGAAAACAAACTTTCGTACCTCTCATCTAAGTTGAATATAAAATTTAACCTCTCGTGTGTTTCTCAGTTTTGTGTTATTTGTTTATACCTTACCTTTGAGGGTTTCGTACAATGTGGAGGTTTTCTCCCTCTTAACGCGGCGCTTCCAGCGTTTCTACCATTGATCTTTGTGCACGTTGACACAGCACAGTATACATCCTACCAACAGAAGGCGCTCGATTGAAAACAAACAAACACCAAATCCTACAATACAGCACTTCTTCCAAACCTTGTGCAATTGACAGACATTACCACATCCCTGTCAAGATGGAGGATCCTCAGACGTCCACGCCAGCACCGTCAAGCTGCTTCAACTGCAACAAGCTCCAAACCGAGCTCCCAAAACAACTCAAGCGCTGTGCAAAATGCCAAACAGCACTCTACTGCTCTCGCGACTGCCAGAGGGCTAACTGGAAGAGCCACAAAACCACCTGCCATCTTCCAGGCTCTGCCCCTCCTCCCAACCCACCTCAGGGATCTGGAGGACTCCACAGCCCAGGCTTTCATGCCTTCAACGACATGTTCGGGCTTTCCAACGACGACTTCCTCCACGACCGCCCCGAGGGAGAGGTCTTCAATCTTCTCATCGACTCTTTCAGAATGCGAGTGGAAGACGAGTATGTCTACGGCGGGAACACAATCGGCATTTACAATGGAGACAATACAATTCCGTTGTTCAAGAAGTTCTTGAGTCTTGCAGAATCGAGACAGAAGCTTCTGCCAACTTGGTGGAGCCCGGTGAAGAGACGGGAGTGCGAGAGGCTTGCGGTGGACGGCAGCCAGTGGAGTGATATCAATTGTGCTGTTGAGAAGAGTGATATCCAGGATCATTATAACGACAACTTGATGCCAATGAAGTTGAGAATCCTGGGGGAGAAGATTTATGGCAAGGGCTTCATGTGAAAGGGGCAACTTTGAGATGTCCATTCGCACCCTAGGCGTTATGTTGCTGATTGCTGATGGGTGGAAAATAACCGCTGGTGACCCAGTTGTGCTGGGGTTTATTTTTGTCTTCGAGGAGATGGAACAAATTGCGATGCTATTCAAATACTTTCAATCCGCTCCTTGTTAAGCTGCGAATTGTGACGTAGTTAAGTCAGTAGACCATTGAGATGAAGAAGAATGCCATAGAACGTTGGCTTGTTATTATGCATCTTTATAATACATGTCCAGCGGCAAATTATCGTACACCCATGATCCGCATCTATCTATAATACATAACCGTAAATGGCCAAATGCATAACCCCAGCTCTACTGGAAAATTGTCCCGGCCTCCTATATTACACCTTAACAGCCTATTCCTTTGCTTTCTTCAAGCTCTTCAGCTCTTCAATCTCTTCCTCGACATCCTTTCTCACCTTCTCCTCCCTCTTCTCCAAGCTTTCGAAATCCAGAAACTCCTGCTTATCATACACCTTAACTCCATGCTCCTCGTCCAGCCTATCCATTTCCTTCCTATACTCCTTTCCCCTGCTCACATTATCCTGAATGTTCCCGCCATATCGTTGACTCATGTACGACGAAACATGGGATTTACCAAGCGACTCCTTCCTACGCTTTACGCTCGCTGCGTATAATGTCTCTATGTTGCCAGCCATCTCTTCAAGGCAATACTTCACCTCCCAATTGTCAGTAGCTTTCAGCTTATCGGGACGAACCACCTGGTGACCGTTGACAAAGTTGCGGATGTTCAATTTGAATACTGCCAGACGGCCCACGGAACTTTCTACGTCGTCCTCGACGGGGCCATTCCAGTCCGGCGGCTCATCCGCTGCTGCTGTATCCGCAGGTTCACCTGAAGATTCAGACACAGCCTCGTTGGTGTCACTGACCGTGGCCTCTGCATCGTCCTTTTCAGCACGGGCAGCCATGAGATCCAGCATCTTGTTCATAGCTATCTCAACCGGCGTGCCCTTTTCGACTTTGCCGAAGGCATTGCGGATAGTCTCTACGGACGCTGACTCATCGAGATGGTTAAAGGCGGCCTCGAGGATTTCATTTTGGTCGTCAGCATTTACAGCTTCTGTGGCGTCTCTAATTGCGGCGCGGAGGACCGCTTCTTGCCCGTCCGCATTAAGGCCAATCACTCGCCTCTCATATTCTTGAATTTGCTCGATATTGGCCTCCTGGATACCTTGAATGTCCTCCTCAGCGACGGGGCGGGCGAAAATGTACATGAAACAGTCGCCGTCGGTAGTATTCTTCGGCCTTGTCTCGAATTGTAGTTCCAAAGACTCTCCTGGAAATTTCTCGGTTGCGCGGTCCAGAACCTTGTTTAGGAGCTCCAGGCTGACCTTAAATTCAGAGTCTCCTAGTGTGGTATCGGTAGATCCATGAAGAGACTGGTCCATCTCCGGCAGGGGGAGATACTGGAAGCCAAATATCCTCTCCGTGTTATGGAACGCAACGAAGATACCGTCCATGCGGCCCATGCGGACTTGAAGAGAATATTTCAAGAAAGCAGAGCGGGACATGTCGTAGAACTCACGTTCATACGAGTCATATTCGCCGTGCCGAGATGTGATCTCGTAGCCCAACCCTTCCTCATAATCCGTAGCGTCTCTACGAATAGAGATGACAGCTCGTGTCTTAAGGTCGTACATGCCTGTCCCGGGCAAACGGGGATCGTGGGCATCGAGCTGCGAGCGCATAAGGAAGTCGCCAAAGGTCGTATAGTGATATGACTCGGGGCTGTTTTTGTCATCATCCGTAAGAGCGTGCGAATTCTCCTTTCGGTACTTTATATATTCTTCCTTGTCTGAAGTTAAGAACTTCTCCATTGATTTCCCGAGCCATTGGAGGACATTGGATGTGTCAAATCCTTTGTTCGCATCAATAGCGTAGACACCATCCCGGCGGCGAAGGAATATAGAAGCAGGTGCTCGTTGAATGGCAGTGAACGAGGATAAGGGTTTTGGGAAGCCTCTTGATAGCTGATCATGATTGACAGGCCGCCATTTTGATAGAAGGTAGTGGAAGTGTGCCAAAGCCGAGGTCATGCTAGATGTTGACCCAGTGTATTTGCTGCCCTCGGCAACTGCAGTATCAATCAATGTTTTGTCTCGCGAAGAAGTGATGTATTCTTTCAGCGCGTTGTAGTCGAATTCTTTCACAGGTGTTATGGCTTCCAAATAGGGGTCAAAATTGTAGACGCGGGTATGGGGGTCTCGAAGTCGATATACTCCCTGGTTGAAGAGGACTCTTTCAAGGCCGCAAACAAGGCCAGGCACAGGTGGCTGAGGTTTCTCAACTGGAACCAACTTTAGCGCCTGTGCATGGACGCTTCCAGAAGTGTAGCCTTCCCCTTCCTTTAGTGGTTTAAACACAGCATCTGTTGCCTCTGGCGTTGAACTTTTCAGGGCAGATTCTAGGTTTTCGTATGTGCTAAGCAAAGTCGTAGATAGAGTCTTATCTGACTTTTCAAGCTGCTCACGAGCAGCATCTTTAAATATATCCTCACCTCCTTGTGCTATCTCGAGGCCGCGCTTATTTAGCAATTTCTTTTCCTTCAAGACTTTCATAAGCACTGTCTTTGCAACCCGGTTGGCGGAGGAGCTAGTAATGGAATAAAGATAGGTTAACAGTTGCCCTCTTCGCTTGGTCTGTCGCCCGGGAACCCTCGAAACAAGCGGGGTGCGAGAGGGACGTATTGGCACCTCGTTTAGAACCCGCCGTGCGACAGAGTGTGATGATTGGATCCGGGAGATTCTGACTGTTGGCGATGATCGAATCCGAGAGACCCTCCCCGGTGTGTACGGAACAAGCCGTGCTACTGATATGCCCCCCTTTGTTCTTGAAGACCCAATATCCGCAGACAAAGGGACAGATATATCATTTAAGGCCTGCGATTTCATCTGCCTATTTTTCTTTCTTCTCCGCTTCTTGCCAGCACTTGGCGGGGGCTTCCCATCTGTTCCAGGGAGACGCTCGTTGGAGCTCGGTGTCTCTAAGGGCTTTGCTGTTTGGTCTTCAGGGTTTACCTGGACTCCCTTAGACCGTTTCTTCGTTATGGTTTGCGCTCCCTTGCCAGAGTTTGATGGCTCCAACGTAACCGCTGTTTCGTGGGCCTTGTCTGCTGGAGATGATTTGGATCGCTGCTTCGTTATCGGCTTCAGGGGTGTCGCTATTTTGTCGGTCTGGTCTGCTCGAGCTGATCCGAGGTTTTTCTTCGCGGCTTTCTGCAGCCAAGAATCCAAGGAACGTGCCCCTGTTGACTCGGCTTTTGGAGATTCATTTTCGGCATTGTGGGTGGCTGGTGCTACAGTGCTGCTGCTCTGTCGCAACAAACGAGGTGAAGCGTTTTCACCCCTCCGTATTGTAGCATTCAGACATGATGTACACACGTACTGGCACCGTGATCCCACTCGTGGTGCAATTGTGTACATGGCCTTGAGTCCCTAAAGATATAGCGTGGATTTGAACTCGAGGAACATTGGCGAATGTGCTTTGAGGTATGTATTGGGAATTATTTTTCTTGACGCCCGGAGGCGCGCGCCACGCGCTGTTAGGCGCGTTAACCAGAAATTTAACCCGCAAGGTAAAAAATACCAGCGAATAGGAACAGTCCAATCAATCATGAGTCCCTTTAAAGGAAAATAATTATTACCACGACCACTATCAAGCCGTCAACCCCAACCACCATATGGTGCGCCAGGATACTGTTTAACACGATGAGCTGCAAGCTGCTGCGGCGGCCCTACCGTGCATTTTCCTTGCATCAGGGCCTGAGAGTCCCGTTGAATCCACGGGCCATTAGTACGAGGGGATTCGCCTCTCTGTCGCCAGATCCCAAGTCAGTAAATTAGAAGCCCACAGTTCGTTACAACATTAACTTTAGTCCAGTGCGAATCCATACGATGTAATTGTCATCGGCGGAGGCCATGCAGGATCGGAAGCATGCGCAGCTGCTGCGAGGTCTGGTGCGCGCACTGCCCTGATTACACCGAAGCTGGACAACATAGGCGTATGTTCATGTAATCCGAGTTTCGGTGGGATTGGGAAGGGTACTATGATAAGAGAGATTGATGCTCTGGATGGCGTGGCAGGGAGAGTTATTGATAAGGCTGCTGTGCAATTCAGAGTGCTGAATCGGAAAAAGGGCCCAGCTGTTTGGGTAAGTGAATCTCTTTTCTTTTCTTGTCGCGTTTCAAGAAGATGTTCTAATGATAGTTCAATTAGGGCCCGCGAGCACAAATCGACCGAGACTTATACAAAAAACACATGCTGGATGAGTTACAAGGATACCCGAACCTTTCCATAGTTCCCGGGAGTGTCGCGGATATTATCGTCTCGAAGGAAACTCTAGACGGCCAACCATCCTCGAAAATAACTGGAGTAAGACTTGAATCTGGCGAGGTTATTCCTACCAATCAGGTCATCATAACAACAGGGACGTTTTTAGGTGGTGAAATTCACATTGGCCTAGAGTGTTTTCCGTCTGGGCGCATGGGCGAAGCGGCGACATTTGGACTCAGCAAGTCACTGAAAGATGCTGGGTTTAAACTTGGGAGGCTGAAGACCGGAACGCCTCCAAGACTGTCAAGGAGGACCATCGACTTCAGCACATTAGAGCAGCAGCCCGGGGATGACCCTCCGATGCCGTTTAGCTACCTCAACGACGAGGTGACTGTCAAGGAGCAGATGTTCTGTTACTCCACATACACCAATGAAAAGGCCCACGATATTATCAGGGACAACCTTGACAAGTCTATTCATATCCGGGAGTCTGTCAAGGGCCCTCGATATTGTCCATCGCTAGAGTCGAAAATAATAAGGTTTTCGGACAAAACGAGCCATATAATCTGGCTCGAGCCGGAAGGATTTGACAGCGATGTCATCTATCCCAATGGGATTTCTATGACCGTTCCAGCCGAGGCCCAGGAACAAATGCTTAAGACTATACGCGGGTTGGAAAACGCTACAATGTTGCAGCCTGGTTACGGAGTTGAATATGATTATGTCGACCCAAGGAACTTGAAGTCGACTCTAGAAACGAAGTCTATAGGCGGGTTGTTTTTGGCTGGCCAGATCAACGGAACTACAGGGTATGAAGAAGCTGCTGCACAAGGAATTGTCGCTGGGATCAACGCTGGTTTAATTTCCCAGGGCCGGGAGCCGATGATTTTGTCAAGAAGCGACGGCTACATAGGCATTATGATTGATGACCTAATAACGAAGGGCGTATCGGAACCATACCGGATGTTCACATCACGAAGTGAATATAGGATGAGCGCTCGCGCGGACAACGCGGATTTGAGGCTCACTCCTAAAGGGCGTGCGGCTGGAGTCGTGAGTGATGCGCGGTGGTCCACCTTCCAGGATATATCCAGCCAAATGAACGAGCTGGAACAGATTCTTCGCGCTGATATACGCTCTGGCCCAGCCTGGATCGACGACGGATTCGAAGTTACGAAAGATACAACTAAAAGAAGCGCATTTGACATTTTGCGTCGTGCCGGGATGAGCATAGACAGGCTGTCGAACAAAATACCAGATGTGCTGAAGTACACCAAAGCGATACAGGATCGGGTTGGAATCGAAGCGGTGTATGCACCGTACATTGCCCAACAGACAGCTTCAATGAAGGTCTTTCAAATAGATGAACAACTGCAACTTCCAGTTGATTTGGACTACGGCAAGGTCCATGGCATATCCATGCACGAGAGGTCTCTTTTAGAAGCCACGAGGCCTGAGTCTGTCGGCCAAGCTCGGAGGATTGAGGGCATGACTCCGACGGGTTGCTTGAGGCTCCTGGCCCACGTACAGAACACTCGCAAACGTGAAGCCAGGGCTATTTTATATGAAGAGAATACGGCTAATAAAAGGAGGGTCGCCGGCTTGTAAGATATATGAATGTATGATAAGATTGTATATTAGACAGCTCCAGACAGCAGCAGCTGTGGGGGCGTTATTATAGTTGGATAGTTACCACTAAGGAGATTCAACCGTGCTCAAACAGATCCCATGTGGAGGCTATTTTGGCTTGCCCGTCGTACTTTCCAAAATATCCTAGTTTAAGTTCAACAAGCGCCATTTGCTCCTTCCAGAATTCACAGGGCAGTACAGTAAGTTGTTGGTCAATCCTTAATGTCCGCGTTCCATCTGGTCTTTTGTTGTCTATTATTTTGGCTCATTGATAATTATATGGAGAAATTTATTTATATTCTTTTAGAAATTGTAGAATATTAGCTGTATATACGTCCTACGTAGATACTGTAGCTCCAAATATTCCATGGCCCTGTGGGCAATCATCGTCAGGGCTTCAGTTATGCCGCCTCTACTTTAAGGTCATCATCGCCCTCCTCATCCCTTTCCGGCTCCTCCTTCTCGTCCTTGTCATCGCCCGCACCAGTGCTTTCCTCGCTTGGCCAATTCAACTCTCTCCAGTCTTCTCCCTCCTCAATCACACATCTGAGCCTGTCTCTAATACTCTCAACCGCAAAGCTCCCCAAAAGTAGTCTCAGTGGTGGGAAACTACAGTGCCCCAGCTGCCACACCAGCTCTGCGCTCTTAACCACACTCGTTGGCTGTCTGTCTCCTAGCCACTGCACCATGCGCTTATAATGCTGCGCAGGGCTAGTGGGACTGCTGTATGGCTCACTCGCCGGCTTGATTAGGAAGTGACCATATAACGGGAGACCCGTTCCCACAATCTTCTCTCTCTCGGGCTGATCTGGGTCATCTCTTCGGACCAATCCCGGCTCCACAAGGGTAGCTTTAATATTAAACGCATCGACCTCATAAAGCAGCGCCTCTATGAGCCCCTCCACCGCATACTTACTCGCGCAATATGGTCCCAAACCCGGCACACCCAACGCGCCCGTCGTCGAGCTAAAAATCAAATAGCGACCATGCGCCTGCTCGCGGAAAATCGGCAGGCTGAGCTGCAGAATATTCAGCGTGCCCATGAAATTCGTCTCAATCTGGTTGCGGATCTCGTGCTCATCCTGGTCCTCGCACGCGCCGATGATCGCCGTCCCGCTGCAGTTCGCAATCAGGTCGATGCGTCCGAAGTGCGCGATGGCTTTGGTCATCACGGCTTCGACGGTGGCGCGCAATCGCACGTCACAGAGGGTGCCGAGACAGTTGGGGTGCCAGTTTTGCATGGAGGCGGGGGGGTTGACGTGGGTTTGGCCGACGGCGACGACGAGGTCGTTGTGCCGCAGGGCGCAGCTGGTGAGGGAGCGGCCGATGTGGCCTGTTGCACCGAAGATCTGGGACGCGTTAGATATGCATAAATTGGCACTTGAGATATTCAATTCCTTCCCCAGCCTCTGTTGCGACAAGATGCCCTCTGGTCATGTGCTACGAAACAGACACCGCCCACCGCCTTAACAACGTCCAAGACGAGAAAAATGTTGACTTACAATCCATACGAGCTGCTTCGGCGGGTTATTCGGACCTGGAGGTTCACAGCTAGATGGGAGCTCGACTTTCAATTCTTGCCTCGCTCTACCGGGAGACGTGTGATCAGGTTGCTTTGCGCCACCATCAGTCCCGTTGGGAGCCACGTCCGTGGCGACTACATGGTGGCCCGAGTCTTCGGCTTTGAAGGCATCCATCCTCTCGAGACGCCTCACAAGTTAAAGCCAAATCCCATGAGCGCCCAAAGACTAAAATGCACTGGCTGATTGGCTGAGATATGGTGAGTTATCAGAGGAAGCGGGCCATAAAGCTACGCCATGCGGAGTTGGTTTTGGTGGGGTGAACTTTGTGGGGGGGTTCAATTTTGGTTGATAGTGGACGGAGCTATAGTATAAAAGTGCTAAGTACTTTTTGCAACGTATAGTAAAAAAAAATTCTAGGGACATTCTACGGTTTAAAAATGGGTATTCATCAATCTCAGTATTGCCAATAATTGCAATACTGGCTCATATCTACCATGTACTTGCTTTCCGCGTTTAAACCTTCAGTGTCTTGTCGACATATTCCTGCCTGTACGGGTTGATATCAACGTCTGGCCCACGGTTCAGCGGCGTCCACTTTGGCTCCTCCTTGAACAATCTCATTGCAACAATGAACTGCGTCGCATTAGCTTCTAGCCTCAAGGTCAATTGGGTAGGCGTGGGGTATGCTCACATTGCTCGCGTCGGTCGTAAACCTGTGGTAAATTCCAGCCGGGAGAATAATCAAGTCGTCCTTCTCCAACAAGATCCTCACCCACTCATCACCCTCGTTCCTCACATCAAAGTATCCCTTCCCGTCGCGGATATATCTGATCTCCTCATCTTCGTGCATGTGCTCCGCGAAGAACGACTTGACCTTTGTCTCGTAGACTTCACCCATTGCGCTCGGCGACACGGTGATCACATCGCGGTTCTTGTATGAGCGCTCTGACGCCAGGGCATCAACTTGTTCGAGTTCGGAGTAGTTGTAGTAGAGGACGCCCACGCGCGAGAGCTGGTCGACGGAGACCTCGCGCCCGGAGTCGTGGGGTTCGCGCTGGTCGCCCTGGGAAGCCGTTAGTTGAAATGCGATATGGAGAAGACGGGAGAACTCACGGGCAAGTTGTCGTACCAGTAGGCTCTCATGTTTGCTTGTGTAGGGTATAGTATATTCTAGGAAGACGAAGGATCAAAGAGGTACGGGTTGGTTTATAGTTATTTCGTTGGAGAGAAGCTTGATTTGTGATGGTTTACCCCTCCCCTCGTATTGATGACGGGCGATTGGTGACCCCACCAGTGCTGACCAGCGGGGTTGCACCATTTCACATGATTTCAGCCAATTACTATAACCGTATATTCACATTTACAACCACAATTCATACTGATCAACATAATCCGTACTGATCATCTCGTCATATTTTCTTGAAGAACTCTAGTAAGGTCTATGAATGTAAACCTTTCTCGGGCTTGATTCGTGGTTTAATACCACGTGGGATAGTCTCATCTCAAGCTTCATCCCTGAGGTGGACCTGGAGAGATATAGCGATTGGTAAAATTGATATTTGGCTCAATCTTTTCACCGCCACTTCTTCTTCCCCTGTCGCAATGTGTCGAAGGGGCATGGCAGAGTAAGCCTCTTCCCGATACTTGGCTACGCCAACGAGCCGAGAGCCGAGAGAGCTACAGGCGTAACATACTCAGGTCTTCTACTGGCCTGGTAGATGTATGCTGGTGTGCTGTGATAGCCATCGGGCAGACTCACAGCGGCAAAGTTTCTGAAACTTTGACCAAAGCCTAGATAAAGCCTCTCAATCCCAGTCATCATTATCGCTGTCTTCCTTCACAGCTTTCTTGACACCGAACCTGACGCCACCATCGCCTTGTGTCTTCGCTCTTTGGACGACGCCAGAGCCGAGTAGTCGCGCCTCAAGGTCGGCAGTAGTGAAGTTATCTGCAGTGTATGACAACCCCTCGAACCCTACGATCCTATCGACGCTAATTCCACCAACGAAACAGATAACGCAAGGCAGGACCTGGACCCTTAGCTTCGTGACAAGGAACGGAGCGTTATCAACGTTCATCTTGAGGAACCTGGTATCGAAATGCTTCTTAGCCAGTGACTATTGGACGTAACAGTCAGAACAACACTCCAAAATATAGTTCAACGGGCAAGCAAACCTCAAGGTGGCTATCCATAACCCTGCAACGTTGAAAGTCCTCCTTTGAAAAGTGCACCACAGCATGCTTTGAAGACGTAGTCAAGTCCATCAATGCCTTCTCATCTTTGATTTCAGTGTAGTCGCCAAACCCCTGGTTCTTCTGGGTCTTTGCTCGTGTAAACTCGGCGTGAAGCTGCTGTATACGCTGCTCTCTGAACGCGTCGAGAGCTGGGGAGTCCTCCAAAGACTCAATGAGGGCATCTTCGTCATCCGAGTTATACTCGGTCTTGTCCACCAGAGCTGCCACTTGGGCGTCGATTTTAGCCATTATTGCTGATAGATGCTCTCACAAGTAACCCCGCGCGTCAATTCTTGAATCGCTAGATAATTGCGATAGGCGACGAAGGACCAGGATGAGGCCCGTGCATACTTTCTGTGGTCCAAATTGCTTATGTAAGCGTAATCTTGCCTCCTGGTTGTGGCCTAATTTGGGAAGACCAGAAAGGTGGGCAAGTCCAATTCTCGAAAACCAAAGGAAAACTCGCTCCTGATCGATTCCGAAGCAATAGTCACTCGTTACCTGATGCTGATATAGTACGGACGGCGATAACGCGACAGCTTTCAGACCTCACCGTTTGACCTGCTCAACGGGCCTCGTATTTCCCCTTTCGCCTCATAACCCACGCGCATCGGCTTTCAGCTCAGGAGACAGCGAGTCTTCCCAACCGCAACCATGGACGGCAAGAAAAGAGACGACGATTATTCGATTGAGATCCCTACGAAGGCGTCCCGTTCTTCGCCAGCGCTCAACAGACCCTCCGCCAGCATGGGGCTGCCTTCGGCGCCTGCGAGCATCGTGAACAACCCAGGGCTCTCTGTGCTTGCATACTGCTTGGCCTCCATCAGTATGACGGTCATCAACAAGTTCTGTGTTTCAGGAGATAAATGGAACATGAGCTTCTTTTTCCTGGGATTCCAGGTATGTCAACATCCTCTGGCAGTAGAGAATTTGTCTGACGAAACTACAGTCGATCGTTTGCATTGTTGCGATTCAGGCTTGCAAATCCATGGGCCTCATCAAAGACCTAGCGAAGTTTGATAACGAGAAGGCAAAGAGATGTATGTTTAGCACGAATATCCCACTATATGACGCTTGCTGACCATGGTGTAACCAGGGTTCCCAATCTCCCTTCTTCTCGTTGGAATGATCTACACAAGCACCAAGGCCCTCCAATTCCTCTCCGTACCAGTGTATACCATTTTCAAGAACTTGACTATCATCGTTATTGCATACGGAGAA